CACTACATACAACAAAGACAAAGACAAAGATCCCCATATAGCCTTAACAGACTGTAGGGGCAAGTGCTGTTAGCGAGCACCTATGAAGGCCGGAACGGTACACGAGGGGGTGGGTGGCCAGCACCACGCCCGACCGCCTTTGTCTCCCTAGTGGCAATGTTTACACACCGCACCAGGTACTCATTTGAGGCTGAGTCGACCTAGGGGAGGCCTGGGACCGGTTCAGATAATCGTCACTGGTGTTGGCCGTGAGCGGGAATCGAACCCGGGTCGCCAGGTTCATAGCGCAGCGCGCTAACCGCTACACTACCGCTCCCCACACTACATACACACACACCTACACATACACACACACAACACACACACACCTATACATACACACACCTATACATACACACACACACCTATACATACACACACACACCTATACATACACACACACCTATACATACACACAACATACACACTACATACACACACACCTACACATACACACACACATCTACACACCTATACATACACACACCTATACATACACACACACACATCTACATACACACACACCTACACATACACACACACACACCTCTATATACACATACACAACATACACACACAACATACACACACACAACATACACACACACACAACATACACACCTATACATACACACACATCTACATACACACACACACCTATACATACACACACACCTATACATACACACAACATACACACTACATACACACACACCTACACATACACACACACATATACACACCTATACATACACACACCTATACATACACACACACATCTACATACACACACACCTACACATACACACACACAACATACACACACACACACCTACACATACACACACCTACACATACACACAACATACACACACACCTATACACACACACACCTATACATACACACACACCTATACATACACACACACAACATACACACACACAACATACACACACACACAACATACACACACACACCTCTACATACACATCTACACACACACCTATACACACACACACCTATACACACACACACCTATACATACACACACACACCTATACATACACACAACACACACACACACACCTCTACATACACACACCATACACATCTACACACACACAACATACACCTACATACACACACACACACATATACATACACACACAACATACACCTACATACACACACACACACACCTACACATACACACACATACCTACACACACACACATATACATACACACACACCTATACATACACACACACCTACACATACACACACACCTACACATACACACACACATACACATACACACACACATCTACACACACACCTATACATACACACACACACCTACACATACACACACACCTCTACATACACACACACACACCTCTACACACACACTCTACATACACACACACTCTACATACACACACACCTCTACACACACACATCTGCACAAAGATACAAAGATCCCCCGTGTAGCCTTAACAGACTGTAGGGGCAAGTGCTGTTAGCGAGCATCACCTATGAAGGCGGAACGGTACACGAGGGGGTGGGTGGCCAGCACCACGCCCGACCGCCTTTGTCTTCCTAGTGGCGATGTTTACACACCGCACCAGGTACTCATTTGAGGCTGAGTCGACCTAGGGGAGGCCCGGGACCGGTTCAGATAATCGTCACTGGTGTTGGCCGTGAGCGGGAATCGAACCCGGGTGGCCAGGTTCATAGCGCAGCGTAGCGCTAACCACTACACTATCACTCCCCACCACCATACACACACACCCACACACACACCCACACACACACACACACACCTCAACATACACACACACCTCAACATACACACACACCTCAACATACACACACACCTCAACATACACACACACACACACATCAACATACACACACACACCTCAACACACACACCTCAACACACACACACCTCAACCTACACACACACACCTCAACATACACACACACCTCAACACACACACCTCAACACACACACCTCAACATACACACACACACCTCAACCTACACACATCAACATACACACCTCAACATAAACACACACATCAACATACACACACACCTCAACACGCACACACCTCAACATACACACACACACAACACACCTCAACATACACACACACACAACACACACACACCTCAACATACACACACATCAACATACACACACCTCAACATACACACACCTCCACACACACACACCTCAACACACACACACACACATCAACATACACACACACACACATCAACACACACACACCTCAACATACACACACACCTCAACACACACACCTCAACACACACACCTCAACATACACACACACACCTCAACCTACACACACACCTCAACATACACACATCAACATACACACCTCAACATAAACACACACATCAACATACACACACACACCTCAACACGCACACACCTCAACATACACACACACACAACACACCTCAACATACACACACACACAACACACACACACCTCAACATACACACACACACATCAACATACACACACACCTCAACATACACACACCTCCACACACACACACCTCAACACACACACACACACATCAACATACACACACACATCAACACACACACACCTCAACATACACACACACCACAACACACACACACACCTCAAAATACACACACACACATCAACACACACACACCTCAACATACACACACACAATTACCTCAACGGCCACCCTCCATCTCAAGGTACCATCGTCATCACCGACATCACCAGCATCAAGCTGCTACTGTTGTTGCTGGAACTGGGTGTGATGAGGTGAGGTGTGGATGTGTTGATGGTGATGTTGATGATGTTGGTGATGGTGATGATGATAAGGGCATTGATGATGATGGTGATGATCATGGTGATGATGGTAATGGTTTTGATGGTAATGATGGTAATGATTGTGATGATGGTATTGATGGTGAAGATGATGATGATTGTGATGATGATGATGATATTGATGATGGTAGTAATGGTGATGATGGTAGTAATGGTGATGATGGTAGTAATGGTGATGATGGTAGTAATGATGATGATGATGTTGATGATGGTAGTAATGGTGATTATGGTAGTAATGATGATGATGTTGATGATGGTAGTAATGGTGATGATGGTGATGATGATGATGGTATTGATGATGGTAGTAATGGTGATGATGGTAGTAATGATGATGATGTTGATGATGGTAGTAATGGTGATGATGGTGATGGTGATGATGGTATTGATGATGGTAGTAATGGTGATGATGGTAGTAATGATGATGATGATGATGTTGATGATGGTAGTAATGGTGATGATGGTGATGATGATGATGGTATTGATGATGGTAGTAATGGTGATGATGGTAGTAATGATGATGATGTTGATGATGGTAGTAATGGTGAAGATGGTGATGATGATGATGATGGTATTGATGATGGTAGTAATGGTGACGATGTTGTTGATGGTCTAGGGAGCGTATGACGAGCTCTTGAGTGGTGTTAGTGGTAGTAATGTTATTGATGTTAATAGTGATGATATTGGTAGTAATGGCGATGATGTTGATGATGGTGATGATGTTGATGATGATAGTAATGGTGATGATGGTATTGATGATGGTAGTAATGGTGATGATGGTAGTAATAGTGATGTTGGTGATGATGGTATTGGTGATGGTAGTAATAGTGATGATGGTGATGATGATGATGGTATTGATGATGGTAGAAATGGTGACGATGTTGTTGATGGTCCAGGGAGCGTATGACGAGCTCTTGGGTGGTGTTAGTGGTGGTAATGTTATTGATGTTAATAGTGATGATATTGGTAGTAATGTCGATGATGTTGATGATGGTGATGATGTTGATGATGATAGTAATGGTGATGATGGTATTGATGATGATAGTAATGGTGATGATGGTAGTAATAGTGATGTTGGTGATATTGATGATGGTAGTAATAGTGATGTTGGTGATGATGATGGTATTGATGATGGTAGTAATGGTGATGATGGTAGTAATTGTGATGTTGGTGATGATGGTATTGGTGATGGTAGTAATAGTGATGATGGTGATGATGGTATTGATGATGGTAGTAATGGTGATGATGTTGTTGATGGTCCAGGGAGCGTATGACGAGCTCTTGAGTGGTGTTAGTGGTGGTAATGTTATTGATGTTAATAGTGATAATATTGGTAGTAATGGCGATGATGTTGATGATGGTAGTAATGTTGATGATGGTAGTGATGGTGATGATGGTAGTAATGTTGATGATGTTAGTAATGATGATGATGTTGATGATGTTAGTAATGGTGATGATGTTGATGATGGTAGTAATGGTGATTATGGTGGTAATGATGACGATGTTGTTGACGGTAGTAATGGTGATGATGTTGATGATGTTAGTAATGGTGATGATGTTGATGATGTTAGTAATGGTGATGATGTTGATGATGGTAGTGATGTTGATGATGGTAGTAATGACGATGGTGGTGATGTTAGTAATGGTGACGATGTTGTTGACGGTAGTAATGGTGATGATGTTAATGATGTTAGTAATGGTGATGATGATGATGGTAGTAATGGTGATTATGGTGGTAATGATGACGATGTTGTTGACGGTAGTAATGGTGACGATGTTGTTGACGGTAGTAATGGTGATGATGTTGATGATGTTAGTAATGGTGATGATGTTGATGATGGTAGTAATGATGATGGTAGTAATGATGATGATGGTGATGATGGTAGTGATGGTGATGGTGATGTTGATGGTTGTAATGATGACGGTAGTAATGATGATGATGTTAGTAATGGTGATGATGTTGATGATGTTAGTAATGGTGATGATGTTGATGATGGTAGTAATGATGATGATGGTAGTAATGATGATGACGGTAGTGATGATGTTGACGGTAGTAATGATGATGATGATGGTAGTAATGATGACGATCTTGAAGATGGTACAGGGAGCGTACGATGAGCTGAGTGTGGATGCAGAGGGTGTACGGAGGGAGGGGGTGGTGATGATGGTAGTAATGGTGATGATGATGTTGATGGTAGTAATGTTGATGATGGTAGTAATGATGACGTTGATGATGGTAGTAATGGTGATGATGGTAGTAATGGTGATGATGTTGATGATGGTAGTAATGGTGATGATGATGTTGATGGTAGTAATGTTGATGATGGTAGTAATGATGACGTTGATGATGGTAGTAATGGTGATGATGGTAGTAATGGTGATGATGTTGATGATGGTAGTAATGATGACGATGTTGATGATGGTAGTAATGATGATGATGGTAGTAATGTTGATGATGGTGATGTTAGTAATGATGAAGTTGATGTTAGTAATGGTGATGACGATGGTACAGGGAGCGTACGACGAGCTGAGTGTGGATGCAGAGTGTGCCCGGAGGGAGGGGTGGTGCCTGGGAGTGAAGTTGGTGCGTGGGGCCTACATGGAGCAGGAGCGCAAGCGGGCACAGCAGGTGGGGTATGAGGACCCCGTGAACGGCAGCTACACAGACACCACCACCATGTACCACCGGTGAGAGATGGTGGGGGTAGCTCACCCACACACTCACCCACTCATCCATTCATCCATTCACTCACTCACTCATCCACTCACTCACTCATCCACTCACTCACTCATCCACTCACTCACCCACTCACTCACCCACTCATCCACTCATCCACTCACTCACCCACCCACTCATCCATTCATCCATTCACTCACTCACTCATCCACTCACTCACTCATCCACTCACTCACCCACTCACTCACCCACTCATCCACTCACTCACCCACCCACTCATCCATTCACTCATCCATCCATCCACTCACTCACTCACTCACCCACTCACTCACCCACTCATCCATCCACTCACTCACTCACTCACCCACTCATCCATCCACTCACTCACTCACCCACTCATCCATTCACTCACTCACTCACCCACTCACCTACTCACTCACCCACTCACTCACTCACCTACTCACTCACCCACTCACTCACTCACCCACTCATCCATTCACTCACTCACTCACCCACTCACCTACTCACTCACCCACTCACTCACTCACCTACTCACTCACCCACTCACTCACTCACCCACTCACTCATCCATTCACTCACCCAAACGCTCACGCACTCACCCACTCATCCATCCACTCACTCACCCACTCACTCAATCACTCACCCACTCACTCATTCAATCACTCACCCAAACGCTCACGCACACACCTAAACATTCACCCACACACCCATCCACTCACCCACTCACTCATTCTCCCACTCGCCCCGTGAACACAGCTACGCAGACACCACCACCATGTACCACCGGTGAGAGACAGTGGGGGGGTTAGCTCACCCGCACACTCACTCACTCACCCACTCATCCATTCACTCACTCACTCATCCACTCACTCACCCACACACTCACCCGCTCATCCACTCACCCACTCATCCATTCACTCACTCACTCATCCACTCACTCACCCACACACTCACCCGCTCATCCACTCACCCACTCATCCATTCACTCACTCACTCACTCATCCACTCACTCATCCACTCACTCACCCACACACTCACCCGCTCATCCACTCACCCACTCATCCATTCACTCACTCACTCATCCACTCACTCATCCATTCACTCACCCACTCACTCATTTACTCACTCACTCACTCACCCACTCACTCATCCATTCACTCACCCACTCACTCACCCACACACTCATCCATTCACTCACCCACTCATCCACTCACTCATCCACTCACTCACTCACCCGCTACGCTCACCCACTCATCCATTCACTCACCCGCACACTCATCCATTCACTCACCCACACACTCATCCTCTCATTCACCCACACACTCATCCACTCACTCATCCATTTACTTACCCACTCATCCATTCACTCACTCACCCACTCACACACCCGCTCACTCACTCACCTGCTTTCTCACCCGCTCGATCACTCACGCACTCACTCATCTATCCACTCATCTCCTCGCCCACTCACCCATTCAATCATCCATCCATTCACTCACCCACTCATCCACTCACTCGCTCGTCCACTCACTCACTCACTCACCCATCCACTCACTCATCCATTTACTTATCCACTCATCCATTCACTCACTCACCCACCCACTCATCTATCCACTCATCTACTCGCCCACTCACCCATTCACTCACGCACCTGCTCACCTGCACACTTGCTCACCCACTCATCCATTCACTCACCCAATTACTCACTTACTCGCTCAATCATCCATTCACCCACCCACTCATCCACTCGCTCACTCACTCACTCATCCATTAACCCACTCACTCGCTGGTCCACTCACTCACCCACTCACTCACCCGCTCACCCATTCACTCACTCATCCACTCACTCACTCATCCATTCACTCATCCATTCACTCACCCACTCACTCACCCACACACTCATCCATTCACTCATCCAAACACTCACCCACTCATCCATTCACTCACCCACCCACTCACCCATTCACTCATTCTCCCACTCGCCCCGTGAACGGCAGCTACACAGACACCACCACCATGCACCACCGGTGAGAGACGGTGGGGGGGGTAGCTCACCCACACATTCATCCACTTACCCACTCATCCATTCACTCATTCACTCACTCACCCACACACTCATTCACACACCCAAACACTCACCCACACACCCATCCACTCATTCACCCACTCACTCACCCACTCATCCATTCACTCACTCACTCACCCACTCACTCACCCACTCACCCACTCACCCATCCATCCATCTACTCACTCACCCACTCACTCATCCATCCATCTACTCACTCACCCACTCATCCATCCACTCACCCACTTATCCATTCACTCACCAACTCACTCACCCACTCATCCATTCACTCACCCTCTCACTCACCCATTCATCCACCCACTCACCCACTCACTCACCCGCTCACCCACTCATTCATTGACTCACTCATCCACCCACTTACCGTGGGTCTCTGTGTGAGTCTCTCTGTGACCCTGTGACCTTGTGACCCTGGTCTCCATGACCTCCCCCCGTGACCCACCCCCCAGGTGTCTGGACTTGATACTCCGTGACGTCGCTGCCGGAGGGAGGGGAGCCATCATGGTGGCTTCTCATAACGTGAGCACCGTCAAGCACACGCTGAGCAGGTAGCAACAACAACAACAACAACACTATCACTACTATCACTAACACTACTATTACTATCACTACTAACACTACTATCACTACTAACACTACTATCACTAACACTACTACTACACGCTGAACAGGTAGCAACAACAACAACACTACTATCACTATCACTAACACTACTATCACTACTAACACTACTATCACTACTAACACTACTATCACTACACGCTGAGCAGGTAGCAACAACAACAACAACACTACTATCACTACTATCACTATCACTACACGCTGAGCAGGTAGCAACAATAACAACAACACTATCAGTAACACTACTACTATCACTACTAACACTATCACTACTATCACTACTATCACTATCACTACACGCTGAGCAGGTAGCAACAATAACAACAACAACACTGCTATCACTACTATCACTATCACTACACGCTGAGCAGGTAGCAACAATAACAACAACACTATCACTACTATCACTATTACTATCACTACTAACACTACTATCACTATCAGTAACATTACTATCACTACACGCTGAGCAGGTAGCAACAATAACAACAACAACACTACTAACACTACTATCACTAACACTACTATCACTAACACTACTATCACTACACGCTGAGCAGGTAGCAACAATAACAACAACAACACTACTAACACTACTATCACTAACACTACTATCACTAACACTACTATCACTACACGCTGAGCAGGTAGCAACAATAACAACAACAACACTATCACTACTATCAGTAACACTATTACTATCACTACTAACACTACTATCACTACTAACACTACTATCACTACACGCTGAACAGGTAGCAACAACAACAACAACACTACTAACACTATCAGTAACACTACTACACTACTACTAACACTACTACTACACGCTGAGCAGGTAGCAACAATAACAACAACAACACTACTAACACTATCAGTAACACTACTACACTACTACTAACACTACTATCACTACACGCTGAGCAGGTAGCAACAATAACAACAACACTACTAACACTATCAGTAACACTACTACACTACTACTAACATTACTATCACTACACGCTGAACAGGTAGCAACAATAACAACAACACTACTAACACTACTATCACTATCACTACTATCACTATCAGTAACATTACTATTACTACACGCTGAACAGGTAGCAACAATAACAACAACACTACTAACACTACTATCACTATCAGTAACATTACTACACTACTACTAACACTACTATCACTAACACTACTATTACTATTACTACACGCTGAACAGGTAGCAACAATAACAACAACACTACTATCACTATCAGTAACACTACTACACTACTACTAACACTACTATCACTAACACTACTATCACTACTATCACTATCAGTAACATTACTATCACTACACGCTGAACAGGTAGCAACAATAACAACAACACTAACACTACTATCACTATCAGTAACATTACTATCACTACACGCTGAACAGGTAGCAACAATAACAACAACACTACTAACACTACTATCACTATCAGTAACATTACTACACTACTACTAACACTACTATCACTATCAGTAACACTACTACTATAACTACTAACACTACTATTACTATCAGTAACACTACTACACTACTACTAACACTACTATCACTATCAGTAACACTACTACTATCACTACTAACACTACTATCACTATCAGTAACACTACTACTACTACACGCTGAACAGGTAGCAACAATAACAACAACACTACTATCACTATCAGTAACACTACTATCACTACTAACACTACTATCACTATCAGTAACACTACTATCACTACTAACACTACTATCACTATCAGTAACACTACTACTATCACTACTAACACTACTATCACTATCAGTAACATTACTATCACTACACGCTGAACAGGTAGCAACAACAACAACAACACTATCACTACTATCACTATCAGTAACATTACTACACTACTACTAACACTACTATCACTAACACTACTATCACTACTATCACTATCAGTAACATTACTATCACTACTAACACTACTATCACTATCAGTAACATTACTATTACTACACGCTGAACAGGTAGCAACAATAACAACAACACTACTATCACTACTATCACTATCAGTAACACTACTGTCACTATCAGTAACATTACTATTACTACACGCTGAACAGGTAGCAACAATAACAACACTATCACTACTATCACTATCAGTAACACTACTACACTACTACTAACACTACTATCACTAACACTACTACTACACGCTGAACAGGTAGCAACAATAACAACACTACTATCAATATCAGTAACATTACTACACTACTACTAACACTACTATCACTAACACTACTATTACTATCACTACTAACACTACTACTACACGCTGAGCAGGTAGCAACAATAACAACAACACTATCACTATCAGTAACATTACTATCACTATCACTACTATCACTAACACTACTATCACTCTCAGTAACACTACTACTACTATCACTACTACAACTATCACTACACGCTGAGCAGGTAGCAACAATAACAACAACACTACTATCACTATCAGTAACATTACTACACTACTACTAACACTACTATCACTATCAGTAACACTACTACACTACTACTAACACTACTATCACTATCAGTAACACTACTATCACTACTAACACTACTATCACTACACGCTGAGCAGGTAGCAACAATAACAACAACACTATCACTACTATCACTATCAGTAACATTACTACACTACTACACTACTACTACTAACACTACTATCACTACACGCTGAGCAGGTAGCAACAATAACAACACTATCACTACTATCACTATCAGTAACACTAACACTACTATCACTACTATCACTAACACTACTATTACTATCACTACTAACACTACTACTACACGCTGAGCAGGTAGCAACAATAACAACAACACTACTATCACTATCAGTAACACTACTACACTACTACTAACACTACTACACGCAGAGCAGGTAGCAACAATAACAACAACACTATCACTACTATCACTATCAGTAACATTACTACACTACTACACTACTACTACTAACACTACTATCACTACACGCTGAGCAGGTAGCAACAATAACAACACTATCACTACTATCACTATCAGTAACACTAACACTACTATCACTACTATCACTAACACTACTATTACTATCACTACTAACACTACTACTCCACGCTGAGCAGGTAGCAACAATAACAACAACACTACTATCACTATCAGTAACACTACTACTATCACTACTAACACTACTATCACTACTAACACTACTATCACTACACGCTGAGCAGGTAACAACAACACTACTATCACTAACACTACTACACTACTACTAACACTACTACTACACTCTGAGCAGGTAGCAACAATAACAACAACACTACTATCACTGTCAGTAACACTACTACACTACTATCACTACTATCACTATCAGTAACACTACTACACTACTACTACTATCACTACTATCACTATCAGTAACATTACTATCACTATCACTACTATCACTAACACTACTATCACTAACACTACTATCACTACACGCTGAGCAGGTAGCAACAATAACAACAACACTACTATCACTATCAGTAACATTACTATCACTATCACTACTACTACACGCTGAGCAGGTAGCAACAATAACAATAACACTATCACTATCAGTAACACTACTATCACTACTACTAACACTACTATCACTACTACTATCACTACTACTAACACTACTACTACTACTATCACTACACGCTGAGCAGGTAGCAACAATAACAACACTAACACTACTATCACTACTAACACTACTAACACTACTACTACTAACACTACTACTAACACTATCACTACTATCACTATTACTACTACTAACACTACACGCTGAGCAGGTAGCAACAATAACAACACTAACACTACTATCACTACTAACACTACTACTACTAACACTACTACTAACACTATCACTACTATCACTACTACTAACACTACTATCACTAACACTACTAACACTACTACTACTACATGCTGAGCAGGTAGCAACAATAACAACACTAACACTAACACTACTAACACTATCAGTAACATTACTATTACCACTACTAACACTACTATTACTAACACTACTAACACTACTATCACTTACATTACTATTACTACTACTAACACTACTATTACTACACGCTGAGCAGGTAGAAACAATAACAACACTAACTAACACTATCACTACTACTAACATCACTATCACTACTACTAACACTACTACTACTAACACTACTATCACTACTACTAACACTAATATCACTATCACTACTACTAACACTGCTACTAACACTACTATCACTACACGCTGAACAGGTAGCAACAATAACAACACTACTATCACTACTATCACTATCAGTAACATTACTATCACTATCACTACTATCACTAACACTACTATCACTATCACTACTACTAACACTACTATCACTAACACTACTACTAACACTACTACTAACACTACCACTATCACTAACACTGCTATTACTACTAACACTACTACTACTACACGCTGAACAGTTAGCAACAATAACAACACTATCACTACTAACACTACTACTAACACTAACACTACTATTACTACAAGCTGAACAGGTAGCAACAATAACAACACTAACACTACTATCACTACTACTAACACTACTACTACTACCACTACTATCACAAACAGTTCTACTAACACTACTACTACTAACACTACTACTAACACCACTACTAGCACTATCACTACTACTAACACTACTACTATCACTAACACTACTATTACTACACGCTGAACAGGTAGCAACAATAACAACACTACCACTACTATCACTACTACTATTACTACTACTATCACTAACACTACTATTACTACAGGCTGAGCAGGTAGCAACAATAACAACACTACTAACACTACTACTATCACTATCAGTAACACTACTATTACTATCACTAACACTACTATCACTACTACTAACACTACTATCACTATCACTACTACTAACACTACTACTACTACCACTACTATCACTAAAAGTACTGCTAACACTACTACTACTAACACCACTACTAGCACTATCACTACTTCTAACACTACTACTAACACTACTATTACTACACGCTGAACAGGTAGCAACAATAACAACACTAACACTATCACTACTACTATCACTACTACTAACACTACTACCACTACTAACACTACTACTACTAACACTACTACTAACACTAACAACACTACCACCACTACTATCACTATCACCACTAACACTATTATTATTAACAACACTAACAACATTAAACCACTAACACTACTATCACTACTGTTACTACTACTAACACCACTACCACTACTACCACCACTACTACCACTACTACTAACACTATCACCACCACCACCACTACTACTATCACCACCACCACTACTATCACCACCACCACTACCACTATCACCACCACTCACTACTCTCACTCCCACCACTGCTCTAGCAATGAGAACGCCGTGAAGCACATTCTGCGCCTGGTAGCATAGCCACAACCACCACCACCACCACAACAACCGCACAACCACCACCACAACTACAACCACCAGGGTGGTTGTAGTTGTGGTGGTTGTAGTTGTGGTGGTGGTGGTTGTAGTTGTGATGGAACTCCACCCCTGCCCCCCCCCCCCCTCCCCTTGTGCCCCCCAGGATGGCTGAGCTGCAGATCGCTCCGTCAGGAGGCCGCGTTTACTTTGGGCAGCTCCTGGGGATGTGTGACCACATCACCTTCGCCCTGGGTACACACACACACGCACACACACACGTACACACACACGTACACACACGTACACACACACGTACACGCACATGTACACACGTACACACACACGTACACGCACACGTACACGCACACACACGTACACGTACACGCACACACACGTACACACACGTATACACACGTATACACACGTATACACACACACGTACACACACAGGTACACGCACACGTACACACACGTACACGCACACACGTACACGCACACACGTACACGCACACACGTACACGCACACACACATGCACACACACATGCACACACGTACGCGCACACACATGTACACATACACACACGTACACATACACACACACACACGTATACACTCGTACACGTACACACACACACACGCACACACACATATACACGTACACACACGTACGCACACGTACGCACACGTACGCACACACACACGTACACATACACACACACGTACACATACACACACACGTATACACACACACACGTACACACACGTACACACACACACGTACACACACGTACACGCGCACACACACATACACACATACACACACGTACACACACATACACATGCACACTTACACATACACACGTACACACACGTATACACGTACACACACACGTACACACACACGTACACACACGTATACACACATGTACACATACACACACGCACACACGTGCACACACACGTACACACACGTACACGTACACACGTACGCACACGTACACACACGTACACACACGTACACGCATGAACGCACACACGTACACACACGTACACACACGTACACGTACACACACGTACACACACGTACACACATGTACACACACACACACAAACACGTACACACCTATGAAGGCCGGTAACGGCACACGAGGGGGGTGGGTGGCCAGCACCACGCCCGGCCGCCTTTGTCTCCCCAGTGGCGATGTTTACTACACACCGCTACACCAGGTACTCATTTTTAGCCTGAGTCGACCTAGGGGAGGCCCAGGACCGATTCAGATAATCGTCACTGATGTTGGCCGTGAGCGGGAATCGAACCCGGGTCGCCAGGTTCGTAGCGCAGCCTAGCGCTAACCGCTACACTACCGCTCCCCATATACACACACACACACACGTACACACGTACGCACGTACACACACGGCTGTCCAGTGTACGTGTGTGTACCTGTATACAGGTGAGGCAGGCTACCTGGTATACACGTTATGTGTGTCTACTTGTATGTGCACAGGTGAGATGGGCTACCCGGTGTGCATGTACGTGTGTGTTTACCTGTGTGTGTGTCTTCACCTATGTTTGTCTACCTGTGTATGTGTGTGTGTGTGTCTTCACCTATGTGTGTCTACCTGTGTATGTGTGTGTGTGTGTCTACCTGTGTGTGTGTTTACCTGTGTGTGTGTGTCTACCTGTATGTGTCTTTACCTGTGTGTGTACCTGTGTGTCTACCTGTGTGTGTGTCTACCTGTGTGTGTGTGTGTCTACCTGTGTGTGTGTGTGTCTACCTGTGTGTGTGTGTGTGTACCTGTGTGTGTGTACCTGTGTGTGTGTCTACCTGTGTGTGTGTGTCTACCTGTGTGTGTGTACCTGTGTGTGTGTACCTGTGTGTCTACCTGTGTGTGTGTGTCTACCTGTGTGTGTCTACCTGTGTGTGTGTCTTCACCTATGTGTGTCTACCTGTGTATGTGTGTGTGTCTACCTGTGTATGTGTGTGTGTCTTCACCTGTGTGTGTCTTCACCTGTGTGTGTCTACCTGTGTGTGTGTCTCTACCTGTGTGTGTGTGTGTCTACCTGTGTGTGTGTGTGTGTCTACCTGTGTGTGTGTGTGTGTCTACCTGTGTGTGTGTGTCTACCTGTGTGTGTGTGTCTACCTGTGTGTGTACCGGCAAAACAACCCCCTACCTCCTCGCGGTGCCGGACGGGCAACTCTGTCGTGGACAGCGCTGTGGGGGGAGATCCAATTTTGATTGGCTCCTCCCCTCATGGCATATGTGTCCACCACAGGGGCTAAACGGGGGCTCTGGACGGGTGCGAGGGGCTGGTAACCCCTCCACCTTCAATTAATTACCACGAAACTACGAATTAAACTGAAATATATAACAACTAAGCTTGTGCCGGAGGCCCCGGGGGGCCAGGCATCTATGACGTCTCCTGGCCAAACCCCAATTGGCGGAGCCAGGAGATTGAATACCTACCCTCGGGGCTACTCCAGAAACAACGAAAAGCCACTACGGTTGGCCACGTGGAATGTTCGAACGCTCACTGCAGAGGAGAGGCTGCCACTCCTCTGTCGGGAGCTGGACCGGTACCGCCTGGATCTATGCGGCATTCAGGAGGTCCGGTGGACCGGCTCTGGCTCCTGCCACCATGAGGGGTGGACAGTCCTCTACTCGGGGCAGCAGACTGCCAAACAACAGGGTGTGGGTCTTCTTTTGAACAAAAGAATGAAGGGGGCGTGGGAGCGTGGCGGTGAGGTGTGGGAAGCTGTAAGCCCCAGGCTACTTTGGGCTCGCCTTCCCATCAACCGGAGGCGAGGAATAGTGGTCGTGGTTACTTATGCCCCCACCGAAGATGAACATCCGTGGAGGGATGCAGGCAAAGCCGATGAGTCAGATGCCTTCTATGACCTCCTGTCACAGGTGCTGGCTAAAGTGGCCCCTCGGGATAGAGTCATCATGTTGGGTGACTTCAATGCCCGAGTTGGTCATGATACTGGCACCTGGTCTGGAGTGATTGGAGGGCATGGGCCAGATCAGCTCAATAACAACGGTAGGAGGCTGCTAGATTTTTGTGCAGCCCATGGGCTTGTAATTACCAACACGCTGTTCCGGCATCGGCGCATCCACACAACATCATGGATGCATGCCGGGTCCAAGCAAGAACATCTGCTGGACTACATAGTGACGGACCAGCGAATGCGAGCCCATGTCCTTGACACCAGGACCTACCGTGGAGCTGATCTGCCCTCTGACCATCGACTAGTCATCTGTAAGATGCGCCTGCCATTCTTCCACTCCGGTGGTGGGTGTACACCCAGGACCCCATTCCAACCTAAAGTGGCCTGGTCTCAGTTATCTGATGAAAGTTGCAAGCGAGAATTTCATCATCGCTTGCGGCTGGGATTGGCATCGTCCCCGACTCCTCCTGATGTCGAGGGTAAATGGGCGAGGTTTAGGACTGTGACTCATGCAGCTGCAATGGCTGCTTTGGGTACGCGGTCCAGACCTCCCCAGACACCCTGGATGACAGAGGAGTTGTTCACGATGGTTGAGAAAAAGCGACAGGCCCACTGTCATCGGCTACAGAATCCCACGTCAGAGAATGAGGAGGCTTACCGCAGCCTTCGCTCGGAGGTTCGGAGAGCCGTGAGGCGCTGCAAGGATGGGTGGTGGTCGCGGGTTGCTGAGGAGATGGAGTCTGCCTCAGTGGCCCGTGATCACAAATCTCTATTTAACTCCATCAAAAAAGTAACCTGCAGCGCCACACCTATTACCATCATTAGGGGAAAAAACGGTGATCCAATTTCCGACCCCCAGGAACAGGTTCGCAGATTTGCTGAGCATTTCTGTGAGGTCCTGGGGGAGGGAAAATCCCTCAGCCAGGAAAACATCGTGGCACAAAGTGAGGATGACCCTGCTGAGGCTGCGGTGCCTCAAATATTGGATGAAGTCACCCCCTGTGAGTGGCTGGCTGAGGTGCCATCTGCTGAGGAAGTATTGAAGGCGATCCGGAGTCTGAGACCAGGAAAGGCAGCGGGCAGAGATGATCTCCCAAGCGAAATGCTGAGGGAGGGTGGCGTTTGTGCACAGACTGCCCTATATGACATCATAACAACAGTCTGGACCACTGGACGGGTTCCGCAGGATTGGAAGGATGCCCTGGTGGTCCCCCTTTTTAAGAAGGGGGACCGCACAGACTGTAACAACTACAGGGGCATCTCACTCCTCAGTGTGCCGGGAAAGGTCCTGGCAAGGATTATTCAGCATCGCCTTGCCAGGCACGCTGAGGAGAGGCTTGCGGAGCCCCAATGCGGTTTCAGGAAAGGGCGGTCCTGCACAGATGCCATATTTTCTGTCCGTCTGCTACAGCAGAGGTGTAGGGAATTCCAACAAGACCTACATCTCTGCTTTATTGACCTGGTCAAGGCCTATGATACCATCAGTAGGCCTGGGCTCTGGGTCGTTCTTCGTGCTTTTGGAGTACCTGACCCTCTGCTCACGATCATTAAGGACCTTCATGATGGTGAGCGGGCCCGGGTAAAACTACGTGGCCGGGAGTCAGAGCCATTCCCTGTACACCTTGGGGTGCGACAGGGATGTCCTCTGGCTCCCACATTATTTAACATCTATTTTGACCACGTAGTTCGTGAAGCCTTCAATAGCTGTACCGGGGGAATCTCCATATGGTACAGATATAATGGGAGGCTAATCGATGCCCGGGTGCGGTCAAGGGATGGCTCCCTATTGCTCAACCACGTTATGTATGCTGATGACTTGGTAATAGCTGCTCAGTCAGAGGAGGAGTTGGAGACGCTGCTGCTGAGACTGGAGCGTGCCACTAAGAGGTGGGGCCTTACCATCAGCCCCACCAAAACTAAGCACCTGCCTGGGTATTTTGTACCATCGGACACTCCACCCCCACAACTCCCAATCGGTGATGGGGCAGTTGTGGAGAGAGTGGAGAGTTTCCCATACCTGGGCAGTGTGCTTATGACTGGCTCCAGTTTAACAGCAGAGGTCTCACTCCGAATCAGTCGAGCGGCAATATCTTTTCATCGGTTGCGTAACGCTGTGTGGAAGCTACCTGGTCTGTCGCTCCGCACTAAGCTTCAGGTCTTCTCGGCCACGGTCATTCCCTCCCTTCTCTACGCTTGCGAAACGTGGACCCCCCTAATGGAACATCTTCGCCGGTTAGAAACATTTAGGCTGGCCTGCCTACGATCCATCCTGGGTTTAACCAGACTGGATTGTGTGAGGAGCTCACAAATCCTTGAAAGATCTGGGCAGGGTCCCATCGGTGAGCTCCTCCGGCAGGCAAGGCTGCGATGGCTGGGTCATGTAGCCCGCATGCCCAGCCACCGCATGCCGAAACAGCTTTTGTTTGGCCGGATTGAGGGGGCTAAGCGGGCGCGGCACGGGCTAGAGAAGAGATGGAGTGATGTGGTACAGGAGGACGTGGAGCTGAGTGGACTTGCCGATGACTGGTACCAGCGGTGTCAAGATCGGCCTCTGTGGAGGAGGCTCGTGAAGGATGCTACTGGGCAGTTGGAGGCAGTCGCCCTCCAACAACAACGGAGGGCGGAGGAGCGACGCTCACAACAGCGAGCGGAGCGCCGGGTGGCTAAAGCACAGCGGGTTGGCACAGTAGGGGGCACAGGTGGTGCATCAGCCAGTCATCTCAGTCAGTCGACCCGTGGCACCTGGGTCTGCCCCGTGACCTCCTGCCAGCGGGCGTTCGACACTTCACGTGGCCTCAGGGTGCACATAGCCTGGCACAAGCGTCGTGGTGACGTCACCGCCACTTAGTGGCGAATGGCGGTTGTTGTTGTGTACCTGTGTGTGTGTGTCTCCCTGTGTATCTACCTGTGTGTATGTGTGTCTACCTGTGTGTGTGTGTCTACCTGTGTGTGTCTACCTGTGTGTGTGTACCTGTGTGTGTGTGTACAGGTGAGGCGGGCTACCCTGTGTACAAGTACGTGCCGTACGGCCCCGTCCGCGAGGTGCTGCCCTACCAGTCTGTGTGTCTACCTGTGTGTGTGTACCTGTGTGTGTGTGTCTACCTGTGTGTGTGTACCTGTGTGTGTGTACCTGTGTGTGTGTGTGTCTACCTGTGTGTGTGTGTGTGTACCTGTGTGTGTGTACCTGTGTGTGTGTGTCTACCTGTGTGTGTGTGTCTACCTGTGTGTGTACCTGTGTGTGTGTGTGTCTACCTGTGTATCTACCTGTGTGTGTGTCTACCTGTGTGTACCTGTGTGTGTGTGTACCTGTGTGTGTACCTGTGTGTGTGTGTCTCCCTGTGTATCTACCTGTGTGTATGTGTGTCTACCTGTGTGTGTGTGTGTGTATACCTGTGTGTGTGTCTCCCTGTGTATCTACCTGTGTGTATGTGTGTCTACCTGTGTGTGTCTACCTGTGTGTGTGTACCTGTGTGTGTGTGTGTACAGGTGAGGCGGGCTACCCTGTCTACAAGTACGTGCCGTACGGCCCCGTCCGCGAGGTGCTGCCCTACCAGTGTGTGTGTGTGTGTACCTGTGTGTGTGTGTACCTGTGTGTGTACCTGGGTCTACCTGTGTGTGTGTGTACCTGTGTGTTTCTACCTGTGTGTGTGTACCTGTGTGTGTGTAACTGTGTGTGTGTGTACCTGTGTGTGTGTACCTGTGTGTGTGTGTGTCTACCTGTGTGTCTACCTGTGTGTGTGTGTCTCCCTGTGTATCTACCTGTGTGTGTGTGTACCTGTGTGTGTGTACAGGTGAGGCGGGCTACCCCGTGTACAAGTACGTGCCGTACGGCCCCGTCCGCGAGGTGCTGCCCTACCTGTCTGTGTGTCTACCTGTGTGTGTGTGTGTGTCTACCTGTGTGTGTGTGTGTGTACCTGTGTGTGTGTGTGTGTCTACCTGTGTGTGTGTACCTGTGTGTGTGTGTCTACCTGTGTGTGTGTACCTGTGTGTGTGTGTCTACCTGTGTGTGTGTGTCTACCTGTGTGTGTCTACCTGTGTGTGTCTACCTGTGTGTGTGTACCTGTGTGTGTGTCTACCTGTGTGTCTGTACCTGTGTGTGTACCTGTGTGTGTGTACAGGTGAGGCGGGCTACCCCGTGTACAAGTACGTGCCGTACGGCCCCGTCCGCGAGGTGCTGCCCTACCTGTGTGTGTGTACCTGTGTGTGTGTGTACCTGTATGTGTCTACCTGTGTGTCTACCTGTGTGTGTACCTGTGTGTGTGTGTACCTGTGTGTGTGTGTGTACAGGTGAGGCGGGCTACCCTGTGTACAAGTACGTGCCGTACGGCCCCGTCCGCGAAGTGCTGCCCTACCTGTGTGTGTGTACCTGTGTGTGTGTACCTGTGTGTGTGTGTCTACCTGTGTGTGTCTACCTGTGTGTGTCTACCTGTGTGTCTACCTGTGTGTGTGTACCTGTGTGTGTGTGTACCTGTGTGTGTACCTGTGTCTACCTGTGTCTACCTGTGTGTACCTGTGTGTGTGTGTGTACCTGTGTGTGTGTGTGTACCTGTGTGTGTGTGTACCTGTGTGTGTGTGTGTGTGTACAGGTGAGGCGGGCTACCCCGTGTACAAGTACGTGCCGTACGGCCCCGTCCGCGAGGTGCTGCCCTACCTGTGTGTGTCTACCTGTGTGTGTACCTGTGTGTGTGTGTGTGTCTACCTGTGTGTACCTGTGTGTGTGTCTACCTGTGTGTGTGTGTGTGTACAGGTGAGGCGGGCTACCCCGTGTACAAGTACGTGCCGTACGGCCCCGTCCGCGAGGTGCTGCCCTACCAGTGTGTGTGTCTACCTGTGTGTGTCTACCTGTGTGTGTCTACCTGTGTGTGTACCTGGGTTTACCTGTGTGTGTGTGTACCTGTGTGTGTGTGTACCTGTGTGTGTGACTACCTGTGTGACTACCTGTGTGTGTGTGTGTGTGTACCTGTGTGTGTGTGTGTGTCTACCTGTGTGTGTGTACCTGTGTGTGTACCTGTGTCTACCTGTGTGTGTGTACAGGTGAGGCGGGCTACCCCGTGTACAAGTACGTGCCGTACGGCCCCGTCCGCGAGGTGCTGCCCTACCTGTGTGTGTGTGTACCTGTGTGTGTCTACCTGTGTGTGTGTACCTGTGTGTGTGTGTCTACCTGTGTGTGTGTCTACCTGTGTGTGTCTACCTGTGTGTGACTACCTGTGTGTGTGTACAGGTGAGGCGGGCTACCCCGTGTACAAGTACGTGCCGTACGGCCCCGTCCGCGAGGTGCTGCCCTACCTGTGTGTGTCTACCTGTGTGTGTGTGTGTGTGTACCTGTGTGTGTGTGTGTGTCTACCTGTGTGTGTGTACCTGTGTGTGTACCTGTGTCTACCTGTGTGTGTGTACAGGTGAGGCGGGCTACCCCGTGTACAAGTACGTGCCGTACGGCCCCGTCCGCGAGGTGCTGCCCTACCTGTCGCGCCGGGCCCAGGAGAACCGCTCGGTGCTCCGGGGAGGCGGCGGAGCCTCGCTCGAGCGCTCGCTCGTGGCCCGGGAGCTGCGCCGACGGCTCCTGGCTCCCCTCCACGGCCTCCTGGGGTCGGGCCAGACCCACGGCAACGCCCAGCATGCGCAGCAGTGAGGGGTGGCTGCTGAGGAGGAGGAGGAGGTGGAGGTGGAGGCGGTGGTGGTGGTGGTGGTGGTGAGGCGGTGGTGGTGGTGGTGGTGGTGGAGGAGAGGGGCGGATTGTAACGCAGTGAAGTGGCCCAGGTAGGGCCCCAGGCAGGCCCCGGGCAGGCCCCGGGCAGGCCCCGGGCAGGCCCCGGGCAGGCCCTACACAGACCCCTACACAGACCCCTACACAGGCCCCTACACAGACCCCTACACAGACCCCTACACAGGCCCTACACAGACCCCTACACAGGCCCTACACAGACCCCTACACAGACCCCTACACAGGCCCCTACACAGGCCCCTACACAGACCCCTACACAGGCCCTACACAGACCCTACACAGACCCCTACACAGGCCCCTACACAGGCCCCTACACAGGCCCCTACACAGGCCCCTACACAGGCCCTACACAGACCCCTACACAGACCCCTACACAGGCCCCTACACAGGCCCCTACACAGACCCCTACACAGGCCCTACACAGACCCTACACAGGCCCCTACACAGACCCCTACACAGGCCCCTACACAGGCCCCTACACAGACCCTACACAGGCCCCTACACAGACCCTACACAGGCCCCTACACAGGCCCCTACAGGCCCTACACAGACCCCTACACAGACCCTACACAGACCCTACACAGGCCCTACACAGACCCCTACACAGACCCTACACAGGCCCCTACACAGACCCCTACACAGGCCCCTACACAGACCCCTACACAGACCCCTACACAGACCCCTACACAGACCCCTACACAGGCCCCTACACAGGCCCCTACACAGGCCCTGCACAGACCCCTACACAGGCCCTACACAGCCCCTACACAGGCCCTACACAGGCCCCTACACAGGCCCTACACAGGCCCCAGGCAGGCCCCAGGCAGGCCCCGGACACGAGGTCGCCGCTTAAGGACGGTGACGAGGTTTTTGCCGCGCTGCAAGTTGCTTTGTTAAATTCACGGAGTTGAAGAGTGACCAGAGGGCTGCAAGGGGCAAGTGCCGTCAGCAGCAGCAGCAGCAGCCCCTCTGAGGGCTACCGCCACCGTGGCCACACAGAGAGAGAGGGGGTGGGTGGCCACCACCACCACCACCACGCCCGGCCGCCTTTGTCTCCCCCCAGTGGCGATGTTTACTACTGCTGCTACACACCGCTACACCAGCTACTCATTCGAGGCCGAGTCGACCGAGGCGAGGCTCAAGACCAGTGGGAATGTATCGCCGCTTACCGGTAGCGCTGGAGGCCGTGGGTTCGGAATCGAACCCTGGCTCGTAGGTTTCATGCTCTGGAACACACAGACACACACACACTGGAACACACACACACACTGGAACACACACACACACACTTGAACACACACACACACTGGAACACACACACACACTGGAACGCACACACACACACACTGGAACACACACACACACACACTGGAACACACACACACACACACTGGAACGCACACACACACACTGGAACGCACACACACACACTGGAACGCACACACACACTGGAACACACACACACACACTGGAACACACACACACACACTGGAACACACACACACACACTGGAACACACACACACACTGGAACACACACACACACACTGGAACACACACACACACTGGAACACACACACACACTGGAACACACACACACACTGGAACACACATACACACTGGAACACACAGACAAACACACACTGGAACGCACACACACACTGGAACGCACACACACTGGAACACACACACACACTGGAACACACATACACACTGGAACACACACACACACTGGAACACACACACACACTGGAACGCACACACACACACACACACTGGAACACACACACACACTGGAACGCACACACACACACTGGAACACACACACACACTGGAACACACACACACTGGAACACACACACACACACACACTGGAACACACACACACACACACACTGGAACACACACACACACACACTGGAACACACACACACACTGGAACACACACACACACTGGAACACACACACACACTGGAACACACAGACAAACACACTGGAACGCACACACACACTGGAACGCACACACACACTGGAACGCACACACACACTGGAACACACACACACACACACTGGAACGCACACACACACACTGGAACACACACACTGGAACACACACACACACACTGGAACGCACACACACACACTGGAACACACACACACACACACTGGAACACACACACACACACACTGGAACACACACACACACACACACTGGAACACACACACACACTGGAACACACACACACACACTGGAACGCACACACACACACTGGAACACACACACACACTGGAACGCACATACACACACACACTGGAACGCACACACACACTGGAACACACACTGGAACGCACACACACACACACTGGAACGCACACACACTGGAACACACACACACACACTGGAACACACATACACACACTGGAACGCACACACACACTGGAACGCACATACACACACACACTGGAACGCACACACACCACCACAACAACAACAACAACCGCCATTCGCCACTAAGCGGCGGTGACGTCACCACGACGCTTGTGCCAGGCTAGGTGCGCGTTGAGGCTACCACGTGAAGTGTCGAACGCCCGCCGGCAGGAGGTCACGGGGCAGACCCAGCAGGTGCCACGGGTCGACTGACTGAGATGACTGAGATGACTGGCTGATGCACCACCTGTGCTTCCTACTGTGCCAACCTGCTGTGCTTTAGCCACCCGGCTCGTTGTTGTGAGAGGGTTGATCCTCTGCCCCCCCCCCCTCCCTCCTGCATCATCCTTCACAGCTTCCACGATCGCTAGTTCACCCTTCCTCCCCTCCACTCTCCCCCCTCCATCATCATCATCCTCAGCTACCATTCTCCATCATCATCCTCAGCTACCATTCTCCATCATCATCCTCAGCTACCATTCTCCATCATCATCCTCCTCAGCTACAACACTCCATCATCATCATCATCATCCTCCTCAGCTACCACACTCCATCATCATCCTCAGCTACCATTCTCCATCATCATCATCCTCCATCATCATCATCCTCAGCTACCATTCTCCATCATCATCATCCTCAGCTACCACCCTCCATCATCATCCTCAGCTACCACCCTCCCTCGCAATCCACCTCGTCCCCCTCCCGCTCCCTCTCAAGGACTTTGTGAACGCCATCAAATCGCCGATTCCCAATAAAGAAACTTTGTGCAACACGAGGCGTCCCCTCTACTCTGTTGGCGCAGTTTCGCTGTGTCAGTGCTGAGTCTGTGGTGGTGCAGTGTTGAGTCTATGGTGCAGTGTTGAGTCTATGGTGCAGTGTTGAGTCTATGGTGCAGTGTTGAGTCTGTGGTGGTGCAGTGTTGAGTCTATGGTGCAGTGTTGAGTCTATGGTGCAGTGCTGAGTCTATGGTGCAGTGTTGAGTCTGTGGTGGTGCAGTGTTGAGTCTATGGTGCAGTGTTGAGTCTGTGGTGGTGCAGTGTTGAGTCTGTGGTGGTGCAGTGTTGAGTCTATGGTGCAGTGTTGAGTCTATGGTGCAGTGTTGAGTCTATGGTGCAGTGTTGAGTCTGTGGTGGTGCAGTGTTGAGTCTATGGTGCAGTGTTGAGTCTATGGTGCAGTGCTGAGTCTATGGTGCAGTGCTGAGTCTGTGGTGCAGTGTTGAGTCTATGGTGGTGCAGTGTTGAGTCTATGGTGGTGCAGTCTTGAGTCTATGGTGCAGTGTTGAGTCTGTGGTGGTGCAGTGTTGAGTCTGTGGTGGTGCAGTGTTGAGTCTATTGTGCAGTGTTGAGTCTATGGTGCAGTGTTGAGTCTGTGGTGGTGCAGTGTTGAGTCTATGGTGCAGTCTTGAGTCTATGGTGCAGTGTTGAGTCTGTGGTGGTGCAGTGTTGAGTCTGTGGTGGTGCAGTGTTGAGTCTGTGGTGGTGCAGTGTTGAGTCTGTGGTGGTGCAGTGTTGAGTCTATGGTGGTGCAGTGTTGAGTCTATGGTGCAGTGTTGAGTCTATGGTGCAGTGTTGAGTCTGTGGTGGTGCAGTGTTGAGTCTGTGGTGCAGTGTTGAGTCTGTGGTGCAGTGTTGAGTCTATGGTGCAGTGTTGAGTCTATGGTGCAGTGCTGAGTCTATGGTGCAGTGTTGAGTCTGTGGTGCAGTGTTGAGTCTGTGGTGGTGCAGTGTGGAGTCTATGGTGGTGCAGTGTTGAGTCTATGGTGCAGTGTTGAGTCTATGGTGCAGTGTTGAGTCTATGGTGCAGTGTTGAGTCTATGGTGGTGCAGTGTTGAGTCTATGGTGGTGCAGTGTTGAGTCTATGGTGCAGTGTTGAGTCTATGGTGGTGCAGTGTTGAGTCTGTGGTGGTGCAGTGTTGAGTCTATGGTGGTGCAGTGTTGAGTCTATGGTGCAGTGTTGAGTCTATGGTGCAGTGTTGAGTCTATGGTGCAGTGTTGAGTCTATGGTGCAGTGTTGAGTCTATGGTGCAGTGTTGAGTCTATGGGCAGTGTTGAGTCTATGGTGCAGTGCTGAGTCTATTGTGCAGTGTTGAGTCTATGGTGCAGTGCTGAGTCTATGGTGGTGCAGTGCTGAGTCTGTGGTGGTGCAGTGTTGAGTCTGTGGTGCAGTGTTGAGTGTGGTGGTGCAGTGTTGAGTCTATGGTGCAGTGTTGAGTCTATGGGCAGTGCTGCGTCTATGGTGCAGTGTTGAGTCTGGTGGTGCAGTGTTGAGTCTATGGTGCAGTGTTGAGTCTATGGTGCAGTGTTGAGTCTGTGGTGCAGTGTTGAGTCTATGGTGGTGCAGTGCTGAGTCTGGTGGTGCAGTGTTGAGTCTGTGGTGGTGCAGTGTTGAGTCTATGGTGCAGTGTTGAGTCTATGGTGGTGCAGTGTTGAGTCTGTGGTGGTGCAGTGTTGAGTCTGTGGTGGTGCAGTGTTGAGTCTGTGGTGGTGCAGTGTTGAGTCTATGGTGCAGTGTTGAGTCTATGGTGCAG